CAATCAAATTATTATTCAACAATTGAAAATGGAAAGTTAATTGTTGTCACTTTTGGTTTTCAAAACTATGGAAAATAAAAACCCAATACTTCTCTTGTTTAGAAAAGTAATTGGAAATTTGCATTTCCCCTCATATAAGTCCAAATTATGAAAAAAATATATTTCCTGTTTGGTTAATTACAACTACTGTCTTTAATTATGTATTGTTTTACGATTAAAATTCCTCCTTCAGTAGATAAATTGGACACCAAAATATTGAACGTGTAAGACAATACATAGTTGATGTACGATTATAATTACCCAAATATAAGGTTGTTTTTCATAATTTAAGCATACCTCATCGAAGTGGCTGTAATTTGCCCTAAAACAACTTCAAATTATGACTTCATAAGCAACGAGTCCAACTAAAAAACTTCAAAACATTTCTTCTCTATCAAGAAAGAGAAACAACTAATTCTAGTATAATCTTATTCAAAAGAACAATCAACTAATCAATATTCGATTAAAAAGGAAAAAAAAAAAAAAAAAAATTGGGAAAATAAGTTAGTCAAAGACAACGTATTGCAAATTTGCCATCTTTAATGTAGGTTATTTAATCATCATCACGAAACGAAATATATAGATATATAATACTTCTGAGTATTAGGTTATGAACAAATTAAAATTATTGTTTCTTACTATTATTAGGAATTTTTATTTTTTATTTTTATTTTTCATAAAAGCACTTAATAATCGGTCAATAATGTTTGATTTTCTTGTCGTGCTAAAATCATCTTTCAATTTAAAAAGGGAATAATTGACTTAAACTACCTCAAAAATATTTTATTTAGCTAACGGTTCTATTTGATATTTTGAATGGGGCAGCTTAGTTAGGCATCTTAGATTAAAAACAGACAACTTAGACTGAAAATAAACGATTTGGACTGAAAATGAAAAGATTAGTTGGACAATTTAAACTTAAAATAACCATTTTAGATGAAAATAACCCTTTGCAATGATGTTTGTAGCGGAAATTAGTCGGTTGGCGATATGGGACTAGTAGGCAGAGGCGGAAAATAAGAAGGGTGATCAAATCAACTATTCAGTCAATTTTGGTATAATAAACTATAATATAATATTTAATAAGTTAATTATGCTAGTAATTAAGTCAATTTTATTCTTTAAATTAAAGAGAACAAGGCGTGAGAACAACAATAATATTCCCTTCTCTTCATTCTTTCGGCTTAAAAAAGAGAGCAAAAAAGGAATTCATGAACCTAATTGCTAATTTAATTTTCAGATTGGTCTTTATATGCAAACCCAACTAACAATGGCTGCTATAAAGTGAACATTTAATTAATTCTTTAACTAATTAATATGAATACACACACTAGCAGAGCCAGTATTTTAAGTCGGGCGCTGAATGCATTGAAAAAGATTCTCATATGGGGACGCATTAATGTTGTTTATTATACATGATTTTTTTTTATATTCTGTATAAAAATAAAAGAGGTTTGAGAAATGTTGAGGGGGCCATGGCCCCCGGATCTTATGCTGGTCCCGCCACTAAAAATACGTGCATGTGTGTGTTTAATATGTAGAGTAATTAGGATTACATGAATAAGTAATTATTATGTTTAATATATATATATATATATAAACCAATCTTCGTGGCTACATCCATGCAAAAAGGTTGTTTTCATACTATATAGCCGTCGGAATATATGCAGTGGCGGATCCAGGATTTTTGCCAAGGGGGTGCTAAATTGTAGAATAAAAAAACTAAATATCACTTTATAAAAATAGTGGACCAAAAATTTACAATTTAAAAATTTTAGGTGAATTGTGTAAATATTTAAACAGAAAAAGGGTGAAAAATGTAAAGATTTGAAAAAAAATCAGCTTTTTAGAGGCTGGGGGTTCGAACACGAGACCAAATAACAAATGAAGGAACAACTTTACCAACTAAACCAACTGCTTTTCTTGTCAACTTATGTATAACTATATTATTTGTTTAAAATCAAGGGTGTGCAACTGCACACCCTAGACCATAGCTAGGTCCGCCACTGAATATATGTATGGGATAATAATATTTTCATGCATATAAAAAAATATTAATTGGATTGAGTTGCATCATTATTTCTTAATTTAAAATTAAAAACTTTTTTCCATCTAAAATACGTCACTAAATAATTTTATATTTAATCTGGTAATCGTATTTATCTTCGAAATCCCAGATTAGTATATAGTTTTTTTTTGAAGTATAATCTTATCTTATGACACATAAACATGCAGATTGTACGCCAACTCAAATTTGAAATATTTTAAGTCAATAAAATTTGATTATCAACTATATATTAATTAATGATGTAAAATACACATATTCTAATTTTATAATGTATTCTGAGCTTGGGTTCGGCAGCAACTGTCCACGTGTGGGAGGCCCAGTAATATTTGGCGGCCCACAATCGAATGTCGTTGGCGCTTGTGTATGTTGACTGCACTATAAAACGAGGGTTCGTGACTTTTTTGATATCGATTGGTTTTAGGACAATTGTTAACGCCTCAATAATTTCCGGGCAAATTTGACGATTAACTTATTTCAAAATTCCCCACGTGGGACCCACTAGGGGGCACTAATTTATTTTTTTATTTTTTTTGATTAATTGAGAGTAAATAAGCATATTCTCTAAATCATTGTGACAAATTAGTTGGTTAAACTAATGTATCCTCATCCTCGAAGAAACTTCAAATGGATGATGCCCTTCAACTTTTATTACCTTTAATTTCTTGCAAGAAAATTATTAATAACTTCAAATCACTATTCTTATTGTAAGAAAATTGTAAAAAGAAAATATTAATTGCATTGGACGGTGGAATCTTTTGGAGTCATCGAGTCCAAAAAGAAATTCCATCAAATCCCAACTGAAAAAAAGGGGGTTTCGAAATGATGATGAAAAAAGTTCGGGGAAAAATAAAATTCGAATAAAAGGGTAAAAAGGTAATTTTGATTTAGTATATGTATGTAGGGTAAATTACGGTCAACCCTTTGAGGTAAATTTAAATTGCGAAAACTACCCTTCAGGCTTCAATTATGTATATCTTATACGTTCAGTTTTATTGTATCAAATTTACCTATTGAATAAGGAGTTTGTTCGTAAAACAATACATAATTGAGAAGGGTTCTTATAGTTATCTAAATAATAAGGGTATTTTCGTAATTTGACCATGTATCCAAGTACGTTGAACCTGTCCAGCTGGCCTTGTCATTTCTAAGTTGAATTAAACTTTTGAAGAGATCATCTAGCAGCCTTGATTTATTAGGCATCTCTTTAATTGTTTGATTACAATTTTGAATTTTCCAAAAACAAAAAGGAAGTTTGTCAAGAAAAACTGAAAAAAAGTGAAATCTTTACTAAACATTTGAAAAGAAATAGAAAATATGAAATTCGTGAACACGAATTATAAAACAAAAAAAGATTTTGAACTGAACTATATATGTAATTAAAAATTAAAAATATATATAATAGTAATAGAAGGAAATAAAAATGTCTTATCACGTAGGAAACGCGTCCCGTGATGCGCACGTGTCTCAATGTGTGTCCTTTTGTGGTCGGAAAGTTGCGGCTGATGTGGGCCCCACTCAAAATCTTCAAACTCCCACTCTTCTTGATGTTGACTCTTTTGACTTTCAACATTATTTGAACACTCAAATAATTTACATTACACACAAAATACCTATATTTATTATTTTATTCGTGTTAATACTTTAGTTTGGTTGGCGGTTGCCACTATGAAGACCAATTGACTTAATAATATGACATATCACGGCATGAATATAACAGCTTACAAATTATACGAGAGATCTAAAATCATACTAGAGTCTAGACTAATCATATATTACACGTTCGATCTAGCGGCTGTTGATAAGAAGATTTGAATATTGGTCAATTGACACATGCCTACTTGATCTTATTAGTTAATATATAAGTCGACCTAAAACAGTTCCATCATGCGCGCGGAAATTTTTGTTTAAATAATAATTTAAGGTAATTTGAAAATTAAAGAGTTTAATTGAAACTAATATAAAAACTAGCATACTTTGTACCAACATTCACTAAAAGGCTTGATATGTGATATGATATGACCATTTCTATAGAGAATAAAATCATTCTTCAAATCTTAAATCTTGACCTTTTAAAAAAAAATTATAATAATAATAGGATTAGAATAAATCTTTAAGAAAAATATTGGCATGGTTTATAAATATTTTTTCAACATACTACTAATAAGTTTCAGAACAATTTGTAGCGTCTGAAACCCGTACTACTAATAAGTTTCAGAGCAATTTGTAGCGTCTGAGACCCGACAATTGGTATTATATTAAGAGAGACAAATTAGATTCCAAGAAAATAATTGAAGTGAGATTCATTCGAACATATGATGGGGAAATTAAACGACGACGCGTAGCGCCAAACCTCATCCTAAAACGTTTATTTCAATTAAATATTTCCAAAAAAAAAAAACAAAAAAACTTAAAAAGGTGTCCCACAAACATGTCCCATGTAAATGAAACCAAACCAAACTACCCTTAATTATCAACATATATAATAATATATAATAAATTAATTATATATATCTTTCTCTCTCTTTCCTCACTCTTTCTTTCTCACTCCTCTATATATATACAATTTCTCTATCCTCCCCAAAACCCAATACACAAAACCTTCAACATATACTATAGTTAATTAGTTACTATATATATATCTAGTAAGAAAAAAAAATAGTATGAATTTATCAAGTGGGATTGTCACAAAGCCTTCGAATTTGCATCTCCCAACTCATTATTTGATGAGCTCAATCCAATACTCCACCTCACACTTGCAAAGATGTACTACTTCTAGTAATTATAACTCGAGTTTCAAGACGATCACGAGCTCGAAAAGAATCGAACAATATCCACCCGTCTCGAAAGCGGTGAAGCTCCGAGACGCGTGGACGGAGTTCCAGGGGATCAAGGACTGGGACGGCCTGCTCGATCCCCTGGATGACCGCCTGCGCAGCGAGATCCTTCGGTACGGGAAGTTCGTCGAAGCGGCGTACTGCTGCTTCGACTTCGACACGTCGTCCCTCGGGTACGCCACGTGCAGGTACCCGAGGGAGTCCATGCTATCGGAGTGCGACCTCGCCACGTCGGGGTATAAGGTGACGAGGAATTTGCATGCCACGTGCGGGGCCGCCCGCCTGCCGGCATGGACGGAGGACCGAGTCCCACGATGGGCCGCGACCCGGTCCGCCTGGGTCGGGTACGTGGCGGTCTGCACCGACAAGTGCGAGATCGCCAGGCTGGGCCGGCGGGACGTGGTGGTGGCGTACCGCGGCACAGCCACGTGCGCGGAGTGGCTCGAGAATATGCGCGTGGCGCTGACGAGGCTGCCCGACGACATGGCGCACGGCGATCGGGAGTCGATGGTGCAGAGCGGGTTCCTGAGCATGTACACGGCGCGTGAGGGCACGCGCCGGAGCCTGCAGGATTCCATAAGGGAGGAGATTGGGAAGATACTGGAAAAGTACGCCGACGAGCCAATCAGCATCACGGTGACGGGGCACAGCCTCGGGGCGGCGCTGGCGGCGCTGACGGCGTACGACATCGCCGGAGAATTCAAACACGCGCCGCTAGTGACGGTGTTATCGTTCGGAGGGCCGAGAATCGGAAACAAAAACTTCCGGAGCCAGCTGGAGAAGATTGGGACGAAAGTGCTGAGAATTGTGAACTCCGACGATCCTATAACTAAGGTGCCGGGTTTTGTGATCAACGAGGAAGAATGCAGGCGGAGTAAGGGAGGAGAAGAGAAGAAGGCGGCGGCGGCGGCGGCGGAGGGAATGTGGAACTGGGTGCAGAAGAGGGTGGAGGAGACGCAGTGGGTGTACGCGGAGATAGGGAAAGAGCTGAGGCTGAGCAGTAGGGATTGCCCGCACCTCAGCAACGGAGGAGTTGCCACGTGTCACGATCTGAAGACGTATCTGCAATTGGTGGATAGTTTTGTGAGCTCGAATTGTCCGCTGAGAGCTACGGCGAAGAAGGTTCTCAGTAGAGCTCATCATCAGCAGCAAGACAAGCAGCAGGAGATTCTCTGTGGATAAATTTAAATAAAATAAATAACTATATATGTATCTATAATTAATTAAATTGTTTTGTATATATATGAGGTAGAGAGGGCACATAAATTAAATTAATTAATGTGTGCCCCAACCCCAAGCAAAAGCCCTGTCTGGTAATTAATTTGACGACGAGGCTAATATTTTTTTTTATTTTTTATTTTATTTGTAGAAATGAGGATATATAAATAGGTTTTTGGTATCTAAATTTGAAGCAATTGTTTTAGTTATTATATTAACTGTTTTTTATTTTTATAATTTTGGTACAAGAAACTACCTCAAAAAATCGAAGCCCAATGGTTCTTCGAGCTTGAATTCGAGATTTCGAAATTTTTTTTTTTTTAGCTATTTGCGGTTTTTTGGTTTTTGTAGGTTTAGAGAGAGAGAGAATTTTTTTATGAACCGCGAATAGCATTTCCGATAATATGAAGAAAAAAAATAATTAATACAATATTAGTATTGTAAATAATATGAAATATAAAATCTCCAAACAAATGGCAAAAAAATTAGTTGTCCCTACAATACGTCACTTCCCGCTATATGGTATCTCGTCATACTTATTAGTTATTTACAACGACTTTCACGTGGATATAATTTTGTATTTTATTTGCCATTATTAAGTGGTACCGGCTACCAAGTACTGCATCAATTCACCAATTATATAAGTGCACTGTAACGGGTAAAGTGTTGCTTTCGAATAATAACTTCCAACTAATATGATAGACGTAAACCACATTAGACTAATCATGTGGGACAAACTCGATTTAGGGACCGTGGATAAGAGGATTCAAACTTGATGGACACAATTATATTATAAACAATCTCCTAGATACTATACCTAGTGAAATACATAATATTCTTTTTTTTTTATACACATATGCATGTAGATTTGTGTACAATATATAATAGATTTATGGACCTCAATTGGAGTTTATTTGATGTTGCTCTCGGTGAAATACATCGGGTAAATATTAACCGTTGATCTACAATCACACTCATTTGTGCTTAGTAGGAAGCAATTTCACCACATCAACGGTTAAAAATTATCCGGTGTATTTCACCAGGTGTAGCATCTCAATGACCATCTATTATTGGGACCAAGGTTGCGACCACAAGTTGGGCATGGAAAACATGTTTGGTTATTTTGTTCTTGTCACGAGTGGTTGCAGTAACTTGCGATTTTGGAGAATTACAATTTGATGTGCAGTCCAAAATTTTATTAATTCTGATTTACAACAAAACGTATATTTATTATTTACCTGAAGAAAAAAACCAACATATTTCGTTAGAATCTCTGGTTCCTAAAGAGCTCTAAATCCCTCAATTTCCCTTTGATTTGGGAGTGCTCATTTCGCATCTTCTCCAGTAATGTTTCGACGAGATGCATCTCCTCTTTCAGATACTTAATTTGCTTATTTATCGAGGCGAGTACTTCTCCCCTGCTTTCACTCATTCCGGTGCTCATGCACCCTTGTTGAGGAATAACGTGGATCCGCTGGGGCCTACTTAACAACACGAGGATGCTTATCTGCAGCAATCGAAGAATATTCAAGTGAGATTTTAAACCAAAAAAAAAAAAGAGCATGTAGATATCTCTCCTTGTTTCTTCCGTTGAGATGAAGTAAGACGAAATTTATTAGAAAATCACAAATAAACACTAAGTCCTCGTTTGGTTGGGGAGATTAGCCATGCTTAACTAAATAATCAGATTATGTTTGATGTTTGGTGAACCCAATAATTTCCGGGTTGACCCAAAAATATTATTTTATCTTGCCTTTTAGGGACATTATTTGTTGGACCTTTCATCGATCGTCCAATAATATAATTGGGTTTTCATGAGACTTGGCTAATCTTATCTTAATAACCAAAGGAGACCTAAAAGATCTACGGGGGGAGACAATATTACACTAGTCCAAAAAATAACAATCTCTATATAAAATATTAGGTTTTAAAGAAGCAATGGGGGCCATGGCCCCCAAGGTGGCTCCGCCACTGCCAATAATGAAAAGGGTTACTTAGCAAGTTTACCTGCATTAGAAGGAGAATTACAGCAATGCTGATGACCAGAAGTAGGGATGAGGTGCTCTGGTGTTTTAAAGATGTGGAGAATTTGGCGACGGTATCTCTTAAGAAAGATCCAGCGACTACCTCGCCTACAATTCCTTGTGGAGGAGCATTGACTCTGTGGTTCGTGTCCATCAGATCTGGTACGATTTGCGATACTCTCAGTTCACTAGGACTTGTTTCCACGCGTTGTTGTTGGGTGGTGTTTGCAAGTTTTTCCGGTTGAACTTGGCCGCTTGAAATCAAGTTAGATGGAACACCTCCTATGTAGGATAGGATAGCATAATATCAAAATCTAGTATAGTCTACAGGAGTTTTCGTATTAGTAGTAGTGAAGTAAAATTAAATGAAATAAGAAGTATAAATTAAGGCTAAACAAGAGAAATACCTTCTTCCTTCTCTAGGTTCTTCTGCTTCAACAATTCATGTGCCTGAAACATTAGCCATACAGAAATCGTTAGATGCTGAAAATTTTAGAACAATAAAAGAAGTCGAGATTAATTCAAGAAAAGAGAGTGGTACAAGATCTATCCAGATTGCATAAGCTTCTCGACACTCTTCTACTGTAGACTGCACTATCTTGCCTGCAAAATTAGCACCCAGTCAGCACTCGGACCAATTTCACCACAGATCTTGCGAAAATTTAGTAACTCCCCACTTTGTTTTATGAATAAAAATAAGAAGGGTTGCCTGAAAAGTACAAGGAAATGGCAAAGACGAACCTTTCCACATTGTTTTCTTTGAAAAGTTCAGATTGATGTAAACCCTTAATACACAACCAGGCTTCGAATCATTGCCCTCGTTCTCTACATCCCAGCGGCCCTTAAGGAAGGAGATCAAAGAGAAAACCCATGAGACTTTACACATAAATAACAATACCTTGGGAGATAGACAAACAATTCAAGAAAATAAGATGTGAGACTCATTAAAGATATGTTTCAAAACTAACAACAAAAATATGCAGAAGGACATTGCTTAAAAAGCAAAAAACGAAAGGGGAGTTTAAGTAGTTCCAACTAGTAACCTTGCATAAAGCTAGACGTTAATTTTCATTTATGCTATTAAGAGATGTCTCAATGATAGAAACATGTGCAAAACAAAAAATCATTTATCTCGTCATCACAGTGGTAGGGAACCGTGTAGAAAAGAACCCATCAATTAACACCAATAGCAATGGGGAGAGAGAGTAATGAGCAGGAAGACGACTTGCAAAACAAAACAGCTGTGCGTCCAACAAATTCATTTCATACTATTCTATGTTTGGAAAATAGATGACTGAAACCATACCTCAACAGTGAAGTAGTCACCGTACGGTACGTCAGTGATCTCTTGTGAAGTATCAACAATCAAATGACTGGCATAATAAAATTGAGAAGGTAAGGAGAATAATAATGTTACAAACCAGCATAAAATATGAAACTATGAACTTCACCAAGTTCGCACGAATTCATAAAAATATATTGTTGAATTTGACCTTACAAAAGATTCAAAATATTCTAGAGGGATTTATTATGAGCAATAATACTAGAAAAATGAACTGGTTTCTTTCTTACTGAAGTACTGTTTGGATAGACTTAATGGTTTTTGAATTGTATGGAACGAACAGTTATGTCAATTCCTTAGAATCAGATGTGAGTTAAACTGTCTTGTCAAATAAATCAGTGACTATACCCCGGTTCTGCTTCATGATATCAATAGCAACAAGCTGACCAAACATGTTTCTCTTACAACAGGGGGCATCTAATTTTTGCAAACCTTTCCTCTCAAGGCCAAAGGACTACAGCCCATTTATACGTAAACTAGCATGCACATGCAGGCCAGAATTGACAAATTGACATTGTGGTAACTCAACTCTAAAATGATGATTTGAGCAACTGTAATTTTATTTTATTTTTTTATTTTTTTTGGCCAAAATATAACCAGCATGAAAATATGATAATGAACATATTCAAACAACTAGCAGACATCATAATGCCATAATCAAAACTAGTAAAACGAACGGTCGGGTGAGAGTGATAGGAGCAATAGTATCCCAGCGATAACTATAATCAACAGCAAAGTGATTGAAACTTCTTATGACGACTTGCCTGTTCCTATAGACTCGGTATTTCTGAATCTCTTTACAGCTACCAAATCTTGCACCTAACAAGAATAAAAACAAGAGTAAGCTACTTTGTACCACTCAAGGAATGATTCACGAATACTTGTAACTGAAAATGACTAAAACAAAGACGTACCAAAATAGATTTTAATTGGATGTTGAAATGATACATCACGAGTGTGCCCAAATTTTTCATGAGGATGCCATGGCGTACACTTGAAATCTATGAGGGACAGTGGCAGACAACATTAACTATAATGGTTAAAGAACTAGTAACTTCACCTCTTACAGGGCATGAAAAGTAACATGGATATAAAAAGCCACAGAATGCCTTCACCCAGTCACCTTTATCGCCGCATTTTTTATGAAATGACTCATGAAAATCGGCACCATCGTCAGAGACGAATATTTTAAAGAGCTCTTCTACAGGTAGCTGAGATAAAATGAAAAAATAGAAATCAATAATAAGATGACGACTGCTCATGCCTAATCTTAAAAATGAAACCATATAAACCAAATGAATAAAAAGCCGAAAACATTGTGCTACCTGAAAATGTGTTTCCGCAACTTTCGTGTAGCCTTCAGGAACTGGATCATGAAAACCCATTTCAGGAGAAAATGGAAACAGTTAAGGAAATATAATAGATATTTGGCCAGAATGTTCTAGAAAATAATACTGTCTAACCTCCAGGTGCATCAGTATCCTCAGGCTCCCAACCGGAAGATTTTACTGATGATGAACACTCAATAACAGGAGCAGCTTCTACATTTGTTTCTTCCCTAACTTCCGTGACTAACGATGTGGAGACAATTTCAGGTTCACTATCACGGATATGTTTGGACTCTGATACGGAGCCATTCTTATCACTGTGCACAAAGCAGAATAAGTGAATCTGACCGCTAATCCAATCATCAGTAGGAGGGTACAAGAAAGAGACCATTCTAGATAGGTCTTACTTTCACGAGCAGCCATGCTTGATTATTTCAGATACCGAATTTCATTCCACAACTTCAAACGTGGTGTCACATTATAGCTATCAATTATCTTGTAGAATATGTTTCTATTGGAGCTATCATTTATCTCAAAGAGTATTATGATCTTATTAAATCTGTTTAAATATTCTTTCTCGAAATAGAGATTACGTGTTTGCTACATTTTAAAATGTGTTTACAATGTCCAAAAAAGAGCAAATACGGTCCAGCAAAAACTGTCTGCATTCTATACCCAATTTTAGTAGGAAACCGATTCTACAATAAATTTCCTCAAGTCTCAATGGTTTAGATTATCTTGTGAATCGGGGAATATGCCCATTATTTTATTCTTACTTTTCCTTTTTTTTACGGGGAGTGGGGGTGGAAAAGTGACTACACGATTAATATCTCTAAATTTCATCTTTCTGTTAACTTTTAATTTAAGCCCACTTATGGAAGTCACAAACCAGCCTCATAGCTTCGTCATAGGACTACAAACATCAGCAGCCTCAATTTCAGTTTGTCCGCCTTTGTAGTTCCCATATACTATCCATTTGATAACTGAAATGTCATCTACCAGTCATCATCACAATCAAGTATGCAGTAGTGTTAAATCAACCACCTTTTTCCTAATTTTCAGTTTAAATACATATCCAGGTATTCGCTCCAAAATACACTAAATTACTCTTACAAATGCAACACATACTGCAGTAAACTTCTATGGTCCCCAATATGTTACAGGTTTAATTTTTTTGGACCAGGTACATCATTATCTAATATTTAGAAGCTGAACAATTTTAGAAAAGAAATAAGAAAAAAGAATAAAGAAAAGAGCAATAGATACCTTTCAACGATTTCAGAGTCATCCACAGATTGTCTGGAACTACCAAATTCTTCAACTAATGAACTGCCATTCTCCTGGCTGCTTATATCAGACACTGGCTCCTAATTTGAATTGAAATAGAGCAACCATTACAAATATAAAGTTGACTTATGACTAATCTAAATCAGCACTTGATCAGATATTGATAGAATAATTTGTTTACAAGCATGTTAGATGATGCAATTTATGGTATTTCTAAAAACATACGTCAGGAAACCAGTCTACAATGTTTTATACCTGAAAAATAATTTGATCAACTGAGTATCTAATCTGATAAAATACCATGCAAATTCGAGGAAATTGAGTGAACCCCAGGACAGATAAAAATCCAAAGGAAAAGAAAACAAGATGAAGGGAAGCCAATATCTCTACGTACACGATTACAAATAGCTACATATCAGATTTAACTGAAATAAAGGAAACATGCAAAAAAAAAAAAAACTAAATGAAGAGGTCAGTCTAAAACCATACGGAATAAAATTCAACCAAATTTGATGAAGCTTTTTAATTTAAACTGAGATGCAACAATAAAGTGGATGGGATGTAGGTAAAGGAAAAAGTCATCGAATAAAGCAAACAAACTGAATAGAGTCTTCATGATTTAAATTTTGGGATGGGATTGAATTAGAATCCATGTAACTAGACCATGCAAAATATAATATAACAAAAATGCAAAAACCAACAAAACAAAATACACATGTTTAATCTAAATACAAAACACATGTCTAAAATCACTCATTGTTAAACACAAAACATGCAGCAAACTGAAAGGAATAATATGCTTTAAGGAAAAATAAATAAAAGCGGATGCAACCTAGTACATTAAACTCATAGTCCAAGTCCGGACCAGATCATGAAACTTAAACATGAACGTGTTTTCGATTAAACAATTAGATACCTGCTGCTGATCTTCAATTTCCTTAGACCCATTACTGTGCTGCAGCCAACCTTCATTGATGAGCTTAAAAGCATCATCTCGGAATAAAAAAGAGGTGAAGAAATACTGCAGAAGAAGAATAGAATTCCATAACATTACCAACCCTGTTTGTGACCTTATGGAGAAAAAATAAAAAATATCTGCATAATACATTATTCAAAGAACACCACAGGTGTACCAAAAGTCGGCCCTAACCTTCTTTCCCCCCGCCATTATTTCTATAGCCGTTGGAAAAACAGCTACTGCTTTGGCTCTTCGTACAGCTGTGATTTCGTGAAACGCAATAATTTTCTGAAAATTAATAATTCCAATCAATGTCAACATAATAGAGAACATGTCAAACAGAACAAGTAATATTTCACTTACAGCATGTTCACTAAAACAGAAATCAATAATCATAGAAATGTCAATATATTCAGATACATACATTAATGAGATTTCAAACTTGCATTCCTATTTATTTTCTTTTATTTTAAGATAGTTGAGAACTACATATGACTACCTCAATATCACCATTCACCAAAAAATTTCTCTATCTTATACATAACTCAAATTTCTAGGATTTTGCATCAGTTTATAATATGCTATTATTCCACAATGATTACCATTACAGAATTAGTTCAGTCAAACTTTAGGCAGAG